CCCCTGGCAATCACTTATGTTTTTCTCTATATATAGTTTTGCCTTTTTTAGAATGTCATATTGTTCGAATCGTACAGGTACATACTGTACTGTATGTACACTTTCAGACTGGCTTCTTTTTTTCTTTCTTTCTTTCTTTCTTTCTTTCTTTCTTTCTTTCTTTCTTTCTTTCTTTCTTTCTTTCTTTCTTTCTTTAATGGTTTTTATTGATTTTTAAAGAGGCAGGGAGAGGGAGAAGAAAGATAGAAACATCAATGAGAGAGAAACATCAATCGGCTACCTCTGCATGCTCCTTACTGGGAATTGAGCCTGCAACCTGAGCATGTGCCTTGACCAGAAATCAGAACAGCAACTTCTTGGTGCACAGGTCGACGTTCAACCACTGAGCCACATCAGCGGGGCCTGGCTTCTTTCACTTAGCAACGTATATTAAAGATTTCTCTGACTTTTTGTGGCTTGGTAACTCATTTCTTTTTCTCACTGATTAATATTTCATTGTTTGGATATGTCACAGTTTGTTTATCCTGTCACCTACTGAAGGACATCTGGTTGCTTTCCTTTTGCAGCAATTATGAACAAAGCTTCTATAAACATTTGTGTGCAGGTTTTTGTATGAACATTAATTTTCAACTCATTTGGATAAATATCCAGGTGTGCAATTACAGGATCATATGGCAAACTGTGTAGGAAACTGCCAGATTATTTTCCAAAGTGACTACCATTTTCTATTCTTACAAGTAAAGAGAATTCCTGTTGTTCCACGTCCTGGCTGACATGGATGTCAGTGTTTTGGATTTTAGCCATTCTAATAAGTGTGAAGTAGTATCTTATTGTTTTAATTTTTTAATCCTCACTCAAGGGTATGCTTAGAGGAAGTGGAGGCTGGGAGGGGGGAAGAGTAAGGGAGGCAGTGGTGCAAGCAAGGCGGAGGGTAGGGAGAGACAGGGAGAAAAGAGACATCTATTGGTTCCCTCCCATATGAATATGTAATCCGAAACCTAGGTATGTACCCTGACCAGGAATTAAACCTGCAACCTTTTGGTATACAGGATATTGCTCCAACCAACTTAGCCACACCAGTCAGCGGCATTGATTTAATTTTTAATACCCTAATAACCTTAATATTATGTAGAAATTTGAGTTTACTTTTATTTTCTGGGTATCGACAAGGACTTCTAGAATATATTGGAGTTTTTTTGTTTTGTTTTGTTGTTGTTTTTGTGTGTGTGTGTGTTTTAATTTTATTGCAGTGACATTATTCAACATGAACATATTGGTTTCATGTATAGATTACTAATTTACAAAATCTGAATATAGGACCCTGTGCCTACCACCCAAGTCAAAGATCCTGTCACCCTCATATTAGGATATATTGACTAGAAGGAATGACCACAAATATCCTTTTCTGATTCCTAAGGTTTCAACATTTCACAAGTTAGTATAAATTTGTAGTAGATTTTCTTTAGATATTCTTTATCAAATTAAGAAAATTACTTATTTTTATGCCGAAACCGGTTTGGCTCAGTGGTAGAGCGTCGGTCTGCGGACTGAAAGGTCCCAGGTTCAATTCTGATCAAGGGCATGTACACTGGTTGCGGGCACATCCCTGGCAGGGTGTGTGCAAGAGGCAGCTGGTTGATGTTTCTCTCTCATCGACGTTTCTAGCTTTCTATCTCTCTCCCATCCTCCTCTCTGTAAAATATCAATAAAATATATTTTTAAAAAAAAGAAAATTACTCATTTTAGTTTGCTAAGACTATTTTGAGTGGGTGTTGAATTTATCAAACACATTTTCTGCACCTATTTTCTAGGTATGGCAATCTACTTGAGGCTTTTAGGGTGTCTTGAATTCATTCCTTGATATTATTTGTTGATTTTGAACATTTCTCAGCCATTATCTAAAATGTAATTTCTGATTCAAAGTCCAATTACATATATATTAGACCTCACTAAATTTTCTTTGTCTCCCACTCTGTTTTACGTATTTTCTATTCTTTTTTCTCCATGTACTTTGTATAGATAGTCCTCCTAATCTGTCTTCCAAACCTATTATTTTCTCTTTATATGTTTCTAATGCATTATTAAAACACATCCATTAAGTTCTTAATTTTTTAGTTCCACACTATTTTGTCACATAATTATCATGGTATTTTAAGGTCCATAACTATTAATTCCAATATATGTAGCCTTCATGGATTGCCTCCCCCCCCCCATATTCTCTTGTGTCCTCCTATGCCTGGTTAATTAATTGGTTTTTGAAATTTTTAAATCAATTCATTTAAATATGATTGACTTACAAAAAGCATACAAGTTGATGAGGTTGGTAAGCCTAGTTACTTGTATGTATGTATGTATGTATGTATGAGCTAGACATTATATTTTCAAAATTTTGTGTAGAAATTATGAGTGTATAACATAATGCTATCTTGCTCTCAATATGATGTATGTTTGTTTTTGCCATTCTTTTAGGCGCCAAACCAGTTTAAAGATTGAGATTATCTCAAACCAGTTTAAAGCCTGAGATGATTCAAAACTGAGTTACAGTTCCTGTGAGAGCCTATCTTTTAGTTTGCCCTAATTTGACTAATAGTGTCATTTGGAATCTTAACCCAATACAAGGAGGATTGACCCATGTCCTCCTACTTTAGAAAACCCTGATAAACAAACTGTGACATATCCAAACAATAAAATATTAATCAGTGAGAAAAAGAAATGAATTACCAAGCCACAAAAAGTCAGAGAAATCTTTAATATACGTTGCTAAGTGAAAGAAGCCAGGCCCTGCTGATGTGGCTCAGTGGTTGAACGTCGACCTGTGCACCAAGAAGTTGCTGTTCCGATTTCTGGTCAAGGCACGTACTCAAGTTGCAGGCTCAATTCCCAGTAAGGAGCATGCAGAAGGTAGCTGATTGATGTTTCTCTCTCATTGGCATATGACTCAAATATTTTTTAAATGGACAAATGAACTTACTATCAGCCAGGAATTATATTTCTCACTGAAATACAGATTAATCTTTGTTTAATTTGGAACTAATTTTAGAATTATAACTTCTAAATTTAACAAAAGTTTGAATGTAATATCATTTTAAGCACTCCATATTTAAGTGATAGAACACTTGGATGGATGGAGTTTTCAAAATACTTGTTACAAATAACCTACAAATGATCTCTTTTTCTGGACTTCATTTTCATTTTATTGACTCCACTGTTAAAATATAATTCATCTAAATGTCTTCATTTGACATTCTTTTTATCTCAGTTATTTATTTAGCAAGCATTTCTTTAAGCATCTGCTATATTCCAGAAAACCCTCCTAGTTGTTAGAGTTTTAAATATGAATGCTCTTAAGGAGCATAAGGTCGAATAAGGAAGTAATGAGGCTGGGAAGTAATGGCTGTATAGAAGCTATCTTATCTCTAGGGTGCTGGGTGAACAAAGCTAGGAAATGTTAGTCTTGATGGAAAAGTAAGAGTTGGAGAGGTGACATATTATGATTTAGGGAATTATTTTCCAGATGGTCTCGGAGTTGTTTTCTGAAAATATACCAACCAGATCTGAAATATCATGGCTGGCATGTACACATAAGGAACTATCTGGCATTGAAATTGGGATACAAAAGAACTGTTGGCCCAGAAAGGAACTCACTACAGACTGACTCATTTGCCTCTCAGCATAACCATTATGACTTGTAGCAGTTTAGGTTCTTACAAGGGTATTTCTTGGATCACATGATCCCACACATCTAGAGGAAATAATGAACAACACAAACAGACCCAGAGAAAGAGAACCAGCGATCAGACTCTCAAACCTCAGAGGGAAAATAAGGGGGGATGAGGGTAAGGGGAAGAGATCAACCAAAGGACTTGTGTGCATACATATGGGCCTAGCCAGTGGCCATGGAAAAGGGGGGGGGGGAGATGGCGGGGGGCATATCTAGGGAGGGGTTTGGGATGGGAATGGGGGAATAAGGACAATTATGTGAGACCATAATCAATCAATCACTCAATCAATAAATAAATAATAATATTCTAACAAGCATTTCAGTTTCTCTACTAGCTAGTTGATACTTTTGTTTCCTTTGGCATGCTTTATGCTAAGGATTGGCAAGTATTTTTTGTAAAATGCCAGATAATAAAATTTGAGGTTTTAAAACCACAAGTTTCTGTCACAAGTACTCTGCCATTTTAGTGCCAGAGACACAATATAATTCATAAACAAGTAAGCATGGTGTGTTCCACTAAAGCTATAATATGCACATTGGAATTGGAATTTCATACACTACTTTTCATGTGTCACAAAATATAATTCTTTTTTTAACCAATCAATTTAAACACCATTCTTAACTTGCTGTACAGAAAAAGCAAGGGGTTGGATTTTATCTGTGAGTCATTGTGTGCATCTCCTGTTTTAGGCTATTTATAGTTAGAGATATTTATATGTCCAACTTAAAAAAATGTATATACTTTTCTTCACTAAAGTAACACATGCTTGGTTTAAAACTAAAGGTTTTCATACCCTATAGCAGTGGTTCTCAACCTTTCTAATGCTGCAACCCTTTAATACAGTTCATGTTGTGGTGACCCCCAACCATAAAATTATTTCCGTTGCTACTTCATAACTGTAATTTTGCTACTGTTATGAATCGCAATGTAAATATCTGTCTTTCCCGATGGTCTTAGAACCGATTCGTAATGTAAATATCTGTCTTTCCCGATGATCTTAGAACCGATTCATAACAGTAGCAAAATTACAGTTATGAAGTAGCAATGGAAATAATTTTATGGTTGGGGGTCACCACAACATGAACTGTATTAAAGGGTTGTAGCATTAGGAAGGTTGAGAACCACTGCCCTATAGTAATTGCTTAGAACTGTTAGAAATTATTTCTATATATTAATTTTTATCATAAATGGGATTGCATTATATTTATTGTTTGACACTTAATCATGCACTTAATAATTTGGCTTTTTAAAATTGATTTGTGCTATTCTGATTTCAAGGTACAAAATGCAATTGAAGAAGAAAGTTGCTGCTTTGGGACTATTGATACCTGGTTGTTACATAAGCTCACAAAAGGTAAAGATGATCTGGTAAATCTATCACAAGTAGCTGAAATTTGACTAATAGAAATTATTTACCTAAAAATAGTAGAAGTTACTATTTTTCCCCTTCCTATAGCCCAGGCATGTTGCCTTTTGGTTCCCTACTAACTACATGTTATAGTAAAGCTAGATTAATTTCAGATTTGTTGGAAGAGGATGGGAATTTTAAAACTGTGGTTAAGCCTCAAATATATGACTGAGTAACCGTCTTAATTTTAAGACCATTAAAATTTGGGTTTAGTATCAAATCTCTTGCAACTGAGTATAACTATAGGCAATCACATTGTAGCTCTGTACCCCCTTCCTCACTTTAAACTGGTGGTCATAACATGACAGTGTGTGTGAAAGTACTTTTATAAATTATGGAAGTTCATAAAGATTAAGTGGGAATTGCTTTGGAGACTTTTCACTGGAAATACACATTTTGGAATGAATTTTCAGGTCAAAAAACGGTCTAGATTATAAACTAGAGATAGATGTTTACACTACCTGATAATAAAAGATTATTTCCAATGTAAATTTAGGTTCTGAATTTGCCACGGATTTTTCAAATGCCAGTACCACTGGACTTTTTGATCCATATGAGGTAAAGGGTTTTTTCCCTCCTTCTTGAATCATCACTTTTTGTGTAATTTAATTTGGATTCTGATTATATATTTTTTATGTTCAGATGTGTTGGAGCAGCTTCATTACTTCTCTGCTTTCAATACCACTCTCTCTTCTGCCTCCTGTGAGGGATACTAGGTAATAATGAATAGTGGACTTAGAAATCAGCAAAATAGTCCTTGAATTCATTTTTCCTTGGTGAGGAAAAAGTATTTGATTTACATGTTTGGGGTACTTTGTGAACATGTTATACTAGAGGCATGGTGCACAGATTCATGCACTAGTGGGGTCCCTCAGCCTGGCCTGTGTCTCTCTGACATCCCCTGAGAAGTCCTGGATTGTGAGAGGGCACAGGCCAGGCCAAGGGACCCCACCGGTGCACGATCAGGGTGGGAGAGGGGCTACGGAAGGTTCTCCAGGATGTGTCCCGCCTGTCTCACCCAGTCCCAGTTGGCTGGACCCCAGCAGCAAGCTAACCAACTGGTCAGAGCGTCTGCCCCCTGGTGGTCAGTGTGCATCATAGCCACTGGTCAAATGGTTGGACACTTAGCATATTAGGCTTTTATTATATAGGAGCAGAGGACTGGTGCATGAAATTTATGCACGGGAGGGGTGGTCCCTCAGTCTGGCCTGCACCCTCTTCAATCCAGGCCTCCTTGAGGGATGTCTGACTGTGGGATTGGACCTAAACTGGCAGTCAGACATCCTTCTTGCAATCTGTGACTGCTGGCTTCTAACCACTCACCTGTCTGCCTGCCTAATTGCCCCCAACCACTCTGCCTGCTGGCCTGGTTGCCGTAACTGCTCGCCTGCTGGCCTGGTCACCCCTAACTTCCCTCCTCTGCTGGCCTGGTTTCCCCTAACTGCCCTCTCCTGCTGGCCTGATCACCCCTAACTGCTCTTCTGCTGGCCTGATCTCCCTAACTGCTCTTCTCTGCCAGCCTGATTGCCCCTAACTGCTCTCCCCTGCTGGCCTGATCATCCCTAACCACCTCTGTCTCAGCCCCCACTACCGTGGCTGTGTCCAAAAGGAAGTCTGGTTTAATTAGCATATTGTCCTTTTATTAGTATAGACTAGAGGTCTGGTGCGTAGGGAGTGGGGGGCAGTCCCTGAGCCTGGCCTGCACCCTCTCGCAATCTGGGACACCTCAGGGGATGTACAACTGCTTGTCTAGGCCTGATCCGGATTGGGCCTAGACGGACAGTCAGACATTTCTCTTGCAATCTGGGACCGCTCATCCCTAATAGCTCACCTGCCTGCCTGCTTGCCCCTAACTGCTTGCCTGCCTGCCTGCTCAATGAGCATCATAGTGACCATCAGTCCACTGGAACAGTTGCTTAGACTTTTATATAGATAGATAGATAGATAGATAGATATAGATATAGATATATAGATAGATAACATTTTGGCCTATGCTAAAAAAAATTCCTAAATTTCAAAATTAACATTGCTAGAATTATATCTTACTTTTAAATCAATTTTATTTGAAGCTTCAATTTTGGATCAGTGGATGAAGAGATATTTGGTGTGCCTATACCAATAATGGCCTTGGTAAGTCGAAAATTTGAGGTTTTCTTCTTGTATAGTATAAAGTAAATGAATATTATATGATAGTTCGAATTAGATATGAGATTAAAAATAGGTCCTTGCAGATTAAAATTAAAGCATCTTTTATTTTCTTTATACCTTGGATATAATCAAAAGTATTTTCTGTTTTGAAAAGAGGACTTCACAGCCTTTTCTGATTTCTCTATATATTGTTTATTAGGAAACTTAAAATATTTAAAAATTATTATATTCTGAATAATACTGGTTTATATTTGATATTATGATATATAAGAATAATAATAGGGCCAATGCTTAATTTATATTCAATGCAAGGTAACCATAAAAATGATATGGTACTTAAAGAAGTTGTATTTATATTTTATAAGTCCTTAGATAACATCTGCCAGTAGAGAAACTTGTGGAAGAATGAAAAATTAGCTGTACTGGTGTTTGAAGGTTCTTTCTTGATTCTACTTTCTCTCTGGAAGAGTGATTCATAACTTGGAGAATCCCAAAGATTTACCACCTGATTGAGAGGTTGTGTATATCTTGCCTTTGATTTCCTGTAATGGCTTAAGCAGGAAGTATAGACCATGTCCCTAGATAGACAGTCACCATGGTAGGTAGAAGAAACAAATGAGGGAAGGGGAACTTAATGCCCAACTTATAAATTCTTTTTCATTTAGAGATGATCAGTCTTATTCAATCTAGGGGTAGGCTCAGCTATTGCTGGAAAAACTATAGATTAGTAAGAAAGTGTTAAGATTAATTTTGCTGTATATGTATCTACATTTAACTATATTAACAGAATGTACTTCTAATCAAAAATGTATTGTCGGAAGATGTATGGATTGAGTTATATTTATTTTTATCGATAGTTAAGCATACACCTGTCACTTTTACTAAAAGAAAAGTGCAAGGTCAATTATTTTGACTGAGTGAAACTTCTTGTAAAATGTAAACAAAATATCTTGGGAGTTTTTCCTGCACAGTTTTTATTCTGACTTTTATTTCTAAGGTTATTCCTATAATACTTAAAACTCATGAAGTAGGTTGCTGAGTTAAAATTTCTAAGGTGCATTAGTTCTCCATACAGTGTTAATTCTAGAGATTCCTAGCCAATAGTTTTTGCTCCCTGTTTTCTCCAAACATTTTTTTTTCAAGGAAAAGGAAAAAAGAGAAGATGCTGAACCATGAGAATACATTCAGTGAGCCAGTGGGATGCAGTGAAATGGGCCACAGCTAGGGTTCCAAGGTCTCTGTTTGAATTTTTGGCAGGTGGCTGACCAGCAGGCAGCCATGTTTGGAGAGTGCTGCTTCCAGACGGGAGACGTGAAGCTGACCATGGGGACTGGGACATTTCTGGACATCAACACTGGAAGTTACCCTCAACAGAATGTTGGAGGTAAATATTTAGAATTTATCCTATTGATTAATTAAATATCACTTTTTTGCGCCAGGATCGGTTTGGCTCAGTGTCAGCCTGTGGATTGAAGGTCCCGGGTTCGATTCCGGTCAAGGGCATGCACCTTGGTTGCGGGCAAATGCCCAGTAGGGGGTGTGCAAGAGGCAGCTGACCTATGATTCTCTTTCATCGATGTTTCTAGCTCTCTATCCCTCTCTCTTCCTCTCTGTGAAAAATCAATAAAATATATTTAAAACATACACACACACACACACACACACACAAAAAAAAAAATACCACTTTTTGCAAATTTAACTTTTATGATAGTATTTTCTCATTTTATATTATCGAATATACTTTAAGTTATTATTCTTAGAGACAGTTAATCCCCATTTTCCTTTATCTTTACATTAAAAGCATGAAAAATGCTTTTGGTTAGCTTTCTAAAAGTTTATCTATAACATGTGTCTAACACATCTTTCTAAACCTCTAAAGTATTGTTTATGTATAAGAAATTATTTTTATTCTTGTGAATTTTTTGAGGTGCTTGTTCTTAACTAGTGATCCCTGCATATTAATGGCAATTACTAGGAATTTTTCTCCCTAATGGGAAAAATCTTGGGATGTATAAATCAAGAAATTTTGCCGAAACCGGTTTGGCTCAGTGGATAGAGCGTTGGCTTGGGGACTGAAGGGCCCTGGGTTCGATTCCGGTCAAGGGCATGTACCTTGGTTGCGGGCACATCCCCAGTAGGGGGTGTGCAAGAGGCAGCTGATTGATGACTCTCTCTCATCGATGTTTCTAACTTGCTATCTCTCTCCCTTCCTCTCTGTACAAAATCAATAAAATATATTTTTTTAAAAAGAAAGAAATTTCAATTGTGTAACTATACCCAGAAAGGCTGAGGGCTTTTAGTCTGACCTCTGGTCCCCTAACATGGTTACTAAGAGGTGGATTTAAAAATATCTTTCCTACCTTCCATTTCTCACTAAATCTGTTCCTTTTCCCCTAACTTGGAAAATAGAAGCTATAAAGTGTTTATCATTGCATGAGGTTGTTTTACCTTAGGAGGGTTGTTTAGAAACCACAGATAAATGCAATAGATAAGACAGTTCTTAAGCTAACCAATCTTATAAAATAAAAGCCTAATATGCAAAGTATCTGGTCATGTGTTCAACCAATTAAAGCATAATATGCTAATGATATGCTAAAGCCACACAAACACTCACTATAATGTGCACTGACCACCAGGGGGCAAACACTCTGACTGGTAGGTTAGCTTGCGTCTGGGGTCTGGCCAATTGGGACTGAGCGAGATGGGCCGGACATGCCTTGGAACCTTCCCATGTCCCCTCCCCTGCTGGCCAACCTCTCATGTCCCTCCCTGGCCCCAGATATGCATTGGTGGGGTCCCTCAGCCTGGCCTGCACCCTCTTGCAATCTAGTACACTTCAGGGGATATTGGAGAGCCAGTTTTGGCCCGATCCCACAGGCCAGGCCGAGGGACCCCACTGGTGCATGAATTCATGCACTGGGCCTTTAGTTTCTAATAACTTTTTATTTCTCAATTCAAATATTATTTCTGTGTTTCCAGAGACATTATTGTACAAAGCTAATAAAAGCTAATATTTATAATGTGCCAGGCATTATGCTAAGTTCTCTTGTTCTCTTTCTGTATTAACTCAGCTTACTCTCACAAGAGCTCTCTGAGGTATACCATTTTAATTGAGGAAACTGATACTAAAAGAAACTTTATATATATATATATATATATATATATATATATATATATATTATTCATTTCAGAAATTGAGAGAGAGAGAGAGAGAGAGAGAGAGAGAGAGAGAGAGAGAGAGAGAAACATCAATGATGAGAGAGAATCACTGATCGGCTGCCTCCTGCATACCCCCACAGGGGATTGAGCCCACAGCCCAGACATGTGCCCTTGACCGGAATCGAACCTGTGTCTGCAGACTGACACTCTATCCACTGGCCAGGGCAGTTAGAAATTTTCAAGACCACAGCTAGTAAAGAAGAAAAGATGGGCATTTGACCCCAGGCATTCTGACTTCAGAGCCACTTTGATAGTTTTTTAGTTAATCAAAATTTTCAATTATAGATGTCTGCAATGAATTATCTATTTACAATATGAAGTACATTGTTTGTTTTTAAGGTTTTTATCCATTGATTGGGTGGAAGATTGGACAAGAGGTTGTATGCTTAGCTGAAGGCAATGCAGGAGACACTGGTACTGCCATAAAATGGGCTCAGCAATTAGGTAAGTCATCCTTTACATAGATTTCACAGGCCAGACTTAACGAAGTTAATGCCACATAATCGCAGATCAGTAGGAAATGATGGATTATTCAAGTGAAACATAAAGTAAAATGACATGTGCTAGAAGAAAATATAGGATGTTATTTTTATGCTATTAGGATGGTGAAAGGCTAGGTGTTAAGGCTAGGTGCCATAAAGATAATAATAAATTTATGCATATAAAATGTTAGAATGTGTAGGGAAAGAATTGCCATAAAGGAAAGCTAAAAGACATATTGGTGAGAACAATTTGTAGCATATGTCAGAAAAGTTAATAAAGATGATAAAAAATGACAAATGATTAAAAATGTTAAAATTCAATGATAAAAGAAATACACATTTTAAAAATTGTGTCACATTTCGCCGGGATCGGTTTGGCTCAATGGATAGAGCGTCGGCTTGGGGACTGAAGGGTCCCGGGTTCGATTCCGGTCAAGGGCATGTACCTTGGTTGCGGGCATATCCCCAGTAGGGGGTGTGCAAGAGGCAGCTGATCGATGACTCTCTCTCATCGATGTTTCTAACTCTCTATCTCTCTCCCTTCCTCTCTGTAAAAAATCAATAAAATATATTTAAAAAAAAAAAAAAAAAAAAAAAAAAAAAAAAAAATTGTGTCACATTTCATTATCAGAGATTAATTAGTTTGATATGCTCAGCATTGGTGGGAATGTAGAGACAATAATACTCTAGTTTCCATTGGGATGAATGTTAATTAGTATGGCCTTGCCAGGCTGTTGAGTGTCAACCTATGAACCAGGAGATCAAGGTTTGATTCCCCAATAAGGGCACATGCCTGGTTTTCAGGCTCAGTCTCCAGTAGGGGGCAGGCAGGAAACAGCTCATCAATGATTCTTTCATCATTGATGTTTCTATCTCTCTCTTCCTCTCCCTTCCTCTCTGAAATCATTAAAAACATATTTTAAAAAAATTACTATGGCCTTTCTGGAGGACCATCAGATAGTATGATTGAATGTAGACCCTTTACCCACAGTTTGATTTTTTTGTTTTCTTTCTTTTAAAAAAAAATATATATTTTATTGATTTTATTACAGAGAGGACAGGAGAGGGATAGAGAGCTAGAGGCATTGATGAGAGAAACATCGATCAGCTGCCTCCTGCACACCCCCTACTGGGGATGTGCCCACAACCAAGGTACATGCCCTTGACCGGAATTGAACCTGGGACCCTTCAGTCTGCAGGCTGAAGCTCTATCCACTGAGCCAAACCGGTTTAGGGCTGATTTTTTGTTTTCTACAGAAATAATAAGACAAGTGTGCAGAGATATATGCATACATGGGTGGGTGTTTAATGCAGCAATTGGAAATAAGTTCCTATCCTAGGTATTATGCAAATGGTCGTTATGTTGTGACAGTAACACCAGATCAGCAGGAGGGCAGGGCAGTGACAGTTACCAGCAGCAGAGAGCTACAGTGCAGCAGTGGGCAGGGTGGCCAGCTGAGATAAGTGACAGCCACAAGGTCACTAGTCTAATAATAAAGCACTAGATAAGTAAATATCAGTATATCGATATAATAGAACATTGTATACTCATACATAACAGTATAGTTGCATATCTTATTGAAATGGAATACTACCTATTATTCTGCAAAGAGGAGATGAAGCAGTTGCCTGTGTAAATATTTTTTGTTTATTTAAAAACTAGCTTTATTGAAATATAATTTACATACCATATAACTCACCTATTTAAAGTATACATTCAATTTTTTTTTAGTATTTTTATAGCTTTGTGCAACTGTTACCACAATCTCATTTGAGAACATTTTTGTTCCCCTTAAAATAAACCCCAATGTCCATTAGTAGTGATACCCTGTCCCATCTCCCATTCCTAAGTTACCATTAAGCTACTTTATGTCTCTGTATATTTGCCTGTTTTGGACATTTCATAGGGTTAGAATCATCCTATATATTAAATATGTAATATGCAAATAGTTGTTATGCCGTAAAGCATAATGACTGACCATGTAACAATCGGATCACGGATTAGCAGGAGGGTGGGGCAGCAAGCTACAAGCGGGCGGCAGAGTGCTATAGAAGGGGACAGGGCAGCAAGCTATGGGGCGGTGGGGGACGAGGGAGTACAGGAAGGCGGGGCAATAGGCTCAGAGCTCCATGAGGGTGGCAGGGAATTACTGGCTACAAGAGGGTGGTGGAGAGCTGCAGGAGGGGGCAGGGCAGCAAGCTATGAGATGGGGGAAAGAGGGGTCTGAGGGAGCTATAAGAGGGCAGGACAGCAAGCTGTGAGGGGGCCTGGGGGGGAAGAGAGGAGAGGTGCTATAGGAGGGCGGGCAGTGGGTAGAGAGCTACTGGTGAGCTACTGGTGCACGGATTCATGCGCAGGGCTACTAGTATAACATAAGGTCTTTGTAACTGGTTTCTTTCAGCACAGTCTTTTCAAGGGTCACCCATGTTGCAGCATGTGTCAATTCTTCATTTCTTTTTATTGCTGAATAATATTCCATTGCGTGGATGGGCCAAAATTTATTTTTCAGTTGATGGACATTTGGGTTGTTTCCTCCTTCTGGCCACCATGAATATTGAACAGCCTACATATATATAACATAACCATATTTCATGCATAAGGTGTGAAATGTTATATACCAAAGTATTAGCGCTGATTATCTCTGATAATTAAATTTTAGAGCAAGTACTGACTCTCTACTTTGCTCTTTTCAACTAAGTTGATATGTTTAAAGACAAAAATAATTCTTTTGGAAGAAAACATATACTCTAGGAGGGAAATACCAATCCATTTATTCATTTCTTCCTTTTTTTTCTATTTGTTTATAAGCCTTCACCAACATCATAAATATAAGTTTACTTATTAATAAAAAATATTTATTTCAAAGCTTTTTATTACTTAACTCTTCTCCTTAAAGGTACTTCTTATAATTTTTTGGACATATATCTTTAGATAACTTCAGATTATAGAAACTATAGGTTACATATGTCTTCTTTTTTAGTTATACCTTTTAATTTTATTGCTTTCCAGAATAAGAACAATAATTTCACATTCGTCATTAAGAAAAATCATCATCAAGTTGCATATGACATCATGTGCATGTGTCATTGGGAATAATTTCACTGTCCATCGAGGTTGAGGGTCATTCATTGTGATTCTCAAATGATGAGTACTCTTTCTGGGAGATGGAGCTAAAATGCCTTGACTTATCAAAGTGATGTGACTTCTGGTAGAGGCATGATGCCCTCCTGAAGGCTAATCCAATCTCTGCAGGAAAACAGAACTGTTGTCTGATTGGAGAGAGAGAGAATTCAGAGTTGAATTATTTGCTTTTAAAATTTCAATGATTGGCTTAGCTAACCATTATTGGTATGTGAAATATGGTAGCAACCGTACTTTGGTAAAAACTGCTGTTTGAATTTTAACCCTTTTGTCTGGCTCCTGCATTTGATTAAACACAGGATATTTATCTCAGCTTCCAGGTGGAGGCATGGAGGCTAAGGCAATTTTCCCTTGCCTGGGACCAGGACCACAGGAGATTGATTCCCACTGACTCAGTAGCTTCAGGGATAGAAACTGTAGATAACCTTTACAGTTGATTAACTCTGCGAGCTGTTCCCAGTCTTTAGAATTTAGTCGTTAGGATTTAGAATTTATCACAAAGGAAAATTCTTGTGGTTTAGGCCTTTAAAAGGACTGCCTGCGTGTGGTGCTCTTGTGGCCATCCTGGCCAGTTTTTCAACAAATCCTTGCCTGCTTCTTTTAATCAATCATCAGCCTCCAGTGGTCTTATTTTGAACCCAGGGTTCGACCCCACAACAGTATGCATCTGTCTGAAATACAAAAATCCAACATTTAGTTGAATATATCTCTTTCTAGTCTGAGCATTCACTTTAATAGGTATATCGACAAACATAACTGCATTACATTCAGGAGAAACATAGGATATAAGAACTTGAATAACCCTGTCATTTCCTTGAAGACATGCAGTTTGAACCTTCATATCCTTGTGTGACATGCTGAGCTTGTTCCACTCTGAGTGTGACTTTCTTCAGTGTCTTTGACAACTCAGGCTCATGCGTAGATGCTGTTTTAAACTAGAAAAATATTATTTTTTTAATCCTTTTTACACAGGCCAGTTGTGTCTCATCTTTTCCCCCCCTTTAGGCTCCTCTGTTAACTGCCATATTTGGGTCCCTACATGTTCATCTTTTCTCTTTAATTTGGTCCATTTCTGTTTCTCGTCACTCTTTGTTCTGTTTTGCTGTCACAATCTTATAAATATTTTTATGTCTGAAACCATACATGCTAGGATACCAGTGAAGAAGACAAATACCGTTGACCTCATGGAGGGTACAGTCTAGCAAGAAGCACACATATTAAATGAACAATTGGGGGGGGGGGAAATAAACGCAAACAAAAACCATTAGTGTTAAATACCAGGAAGGACAAGTAGTTATTGAGTCAGTGATGTCTTTTTAAAGAAAAGACTTTTTCTAATTGGAGAATAAGAATATTTCTTTCTTTTTCATTTTTTCCCTTTTGTTTAGTTAATTGGTGTAACACTAGTTGACAAAATTATGCAGGATTCAGGTGCACAAGTCTACAACGGATCATCTGTACACTGTATTGTTCATTCACCACCCCAAGTCAAGTCTCCATCTGTCACCATTTATCCCCTGTACCCTCCTCTACCTCCTCTTCCCCCTCGCAGTCACCACACTGTTCTCCACATCCATGAGGTTTTTTTTTGTTGTTGTTGTTGATGTTCAATCCCTACACCTTTCCACCCAGCTTCACCCCATGCCAACAGCTGTCAGCCTACTCTTTGTCTCTGAGTCTCTCTGTTTTGCATTTTAGTTTATTTTATTCATTAGAGTCCACATATGAGTGAATATATAAGGTACTTGTTTTTCCACAATCTCATTTGCTCATTGGCTTCTTTCACTTAGCATAATGCTCTCCAGGTTCATCAATGCTGT